AAATCTTTAATTACTATTAAGTATTAACCGAATATAAGTGACCAATTTTTTTTGTTGCAAATAATTCTAGATTAAATTACGAGTAATATGCAACAAAAAAGAACTGCAAATCTATTGAGATGTTAGTATTATTATTATTTATTAATTAAGCTTCAGCCTTTCGGCCCAGAAGTGGACATGCTTTAATACAAAATTAAAACTATAAAAAAACTTGTTGTTCACGCGACACCCATATAAAAACTAAACATTATTTTACATTTTTGTATTGCCAAATTTTCCTACAAATCTCTATTTTACAATCATTACAACTATCATCCGTTAACTTTCTAACCCTGTATACCTTATCACCATCTAATTTTTCACACCACTTACTCACTATCTTGCATTCATATAGGTAAGTAATGCTCAAAAGAGTCCCATCCTTTACAACAAAAAATACACATTCTCTCTTCTTTTTTAAGCCAGTGAGAAGTTAGTATTATATCCCACGTGAAAAAGTTCCCGGGAATTGACCACCGGAAATTCTTGCGGAAATTCCGTTTGGAAATTCCGACACATTTTTTTCATATAATTTAGCACAAGAACTCTGTTTTTCAACATAACTGAATTAAAATTATTGTTTATAATGAACAAACACATTTTATACATTGCACTTAAGAAAAATTTATTAAAGTCGTTTTGTTTTTACTATTTATGAAACTAATCAAACAAAACTTTTAGGTTTGAAACTTGTGAATTGATAGGCATGAATGCCAGCTCGCCATGTATAGATAATGGTGCCAAATTTAAAATGCGTCAAATTAAATGCAATAGGGTCAACTGGGGTAAATCCGAACGCTTTTAGTAAGTTTCAACAATAACATAAGTTTTTTCTTTAAAAAAAAAATACTTCCGGTATTCTGGTGCATGAAGTTGTTACTTTACTTCCATTGAACAATTTTATGGGGTAGAAAATTTTTTTGATAAATTACAATCGCAGGAAACTTAGCGTTCGTATTTACCTCGATACTTTGCAACTTTCCTAAAATATGGGGGTAAATACGAACGCCACTGTATTTCAGAAAAATCTTAGGGAAAATAAATTTAAAGTATTGCAATTGTTAAACTTATATAAAAACTCAAAAAAAATACGATAATAAACCTATTATGTAATAATGCATCATATATAAATACAAAAATCAAACAGGTTAAAAATTAAAATGCATTACACAATTAAAACCTTCAATAACTTTATCAAATCATAACGGATTTTTGCAAAACTTGGTACAGAAAGTATTTTGGAGTGATTGAATGTAAATACAAAAATAAAAGTCAAATTTTTTAAATTCAAAATGGCGTACTTTCCTAAAACTTATTTTTAAAAATGATGAAATTTGCTAACCCTGAAACCCCCCGAGTAACAATTTTCGAGCGAATCCAATGAATTTTTTAATTCTCGTCCGCCATTTTGAATTTTGAAAAACTGACTTCAAATTGGTAATTAGCGACCCCAAAAACCGTAGAATACCAAATTTTATTAAGATCCTGAAAAACTTTTTTCAACAAACCGTTTGGCGAAAAAATTGAAACACTCCTTCGAGAGAACAGAGATTAAGTTTCTGCTTATTAATTATTAACGAGGATACGTATAGAAAGAAAAACTTTTTTCTATGTACTTTTATAATGTTAAAATAATAGTGTAATCAAATAAAAACAATTTTGTGCGGCTTTGATGTAAAAAAAAATTATTAAAAATACCGTTCGGATTTACCCCAGTTTTCCAATTTTCTTGGGTAAATACGAACGGTCTGATATTATTAATAAAATTTTACAGAAGGCAAAAATCAAATATAGTTTCTGTTCTAGTATTCATAACAAACAATTATAAATAATAAAATGAATTTTTAGCTTCTTTGTCTTCAAATACGAGACAAAATACTGAAAGAGTGTCATCTTTGATTTTCAATCTTTTTTGCAATACTTGTTATCTTTGTTTATGCTGTTGCTAATTAACAAACAAAAAATGGGATAATACTTAGAATCTCTTCAAGAGGATCTGAGGTAAAAATTCTCATATCGAACTTATTTTTAAAATTTTTAATTAAGCTGAAATAATTAGCGTTCGGATTTACCCCCCGTTCGGATTTACCCCGACTGACCCTAGTTTTTAAATTTACATTATTTTATAATAATTGAAAGAGCAAAAGTGTATTTCAAAATATTATAAGTTTCCATATTTTTACCTAATATTAATTCATGTCCAGTTTACCTTTTGTCAACTTTTTTTAAAATTCAATTAATTTTATAACAATATATTGTTATATAATTATAATAATTATAATAAATATAATAGAAATTAACCAAATTTTGTAAAAATCTATAACGAAAAATTTTCCGAGAGTCAACCTTTATTATGTCACGTTATTTCTTGAAATTTTCTTCAGAGAATATAAAAACTCTAAAATTCGACAACGAGACGTAATTCAATTAATTATATAACAATATATTGTTATATAATTAATTGAATTACGTTATAAAATTTGTTTAATTCCACGAAGTGTTTTTTCTGACGAATTTGCATCTTCTTATCAATAAATTATTGTACTCATTAATTTTTCACCAAATAAAAAACAGCACAATGGGTAAATATCTGGGGACTTCCTAGTAGCAAATTTTTACAAAAATAAGTCAACATGCCCAAAAGCGTTAGCGAAAAATAAAAATAAATTGATTTCACAAAATATAAAGTTAAACAATTTGACAAAATAGCATTTATTATATGCACATTAGTTTGATAGTCGAGAACTTTCTCGTTGTCGAATTTTAGAGTTTTTATATTCTCTGAAGAAAATTTCAAGAAATAACGTGACATAATAAAGGTTGACTCTCGGAAAATTTTTCGTTATAGATTTTTACAAAATTTGGTTAATTTCTATTATATTTATTATAATTATTATAATTATATATTGTTATAAAATTAATTGAATTTTTAAAAAAAAGTTGACAAAAGGTAAACTGACATGAATTAATATTAGGTAAAAATATGGAAACTTATAATATTTTGAAATACACTTTTGCTCTTTCAATTATTATAAAATAATGTAAATTTAAAAACTATTGCATTTAATTTGACGCATTTTAAATTTGGCACCATTATCTATACATGGCTGGCATTCATGCCTGTCAATTCACAAGTTTCAAAGCTAAAAGTTTTGTTTGATTAGTTTCATAAATAGTAAAAACAAAACGAATTTAATAAATTTTTCTTAAGTGCAATGTATAAAATGTGTTTGTTCATTACAAACAATAATTTTAATTCAGTTATGTTGAAAAACAGAGTTCTTGTGATAAATTATATGAAAAAAATGTGTTGGAATTTCCAAACGGAATTTCGACAAGAATTTCCGGTGGTCAATTCCCGGGAACTTTTTCACGTGGGATTTATTTGTTTAATTAAATTGTTTATATTTTTAACAAATCAATTAACTTTTTCAAATAATTAATATCAATCGAAAGCAGCTTTAATTTTAAATAAGTATACCAAAAATCAGAAAGTTTCATTAATTTGATTAATAGGGATAGAAAAACAACTTTTTGTACCCAGATATCACAACAAATATATATCGATATGTCCATCCATTTTAAACTTTGCAGTGCAAACTTGCTGCAAAATCGATGCAAAAAAGCTGAATGAGTTTTCCGCAGAATTTCAAAAACAATTTGCTGTAAAATGACACGAAAAATTTTTTGAAATTTGAAAATGCAATTTTTTGGAAAATAAAATTTTTAAGTTTCCTTGAAAGTTATTTTTTTAATTTCTTTATTATAAAAATAATTAAATCGTAGGAAAGAAGGAAGTAAAAAGAAAACAATCTTTTTTAAAAATAACGCTTTAAAAATTTATTTTTTTTTAAATTTAAATTTAAGTTATATTACATAAAATTAAACAAACAATAAACAGGGTTCCCCGAGATTTTTCCGAAAACAATTTCCCGAACCACAAATTCCGAATATGTTTATTTTGCGAACGGCTTCTCTTCCGAATTTGGTTTTCCGAATGCATTTATCCGAAGAGCGATTTCCGAAAATTAATTTTTCCGAATCTATTATTCCGAACAGTTATATTTTCCGATTTCAATTTTTTAAATAAAAGAGCAATAACTTATTTATATATTCCAAAAAATTGCATTTTCAAATTTCAGAAAATTTTCCGTGTCATTTTTCAGCAAATTGTTTTTAAAATTCTGCGGAAAACTCATTCAGCTTTTTTGCAGCGATTTTGCAGTTTAAAAAGGATGGACATATCGATATTTGCCACAGTTTTGCAGCAAGTTGGCAATGCAAACTTGCAATTTGGCATTGCCAACTTGCTGCAAAATTGTTGCAAATTGTTGTGCTATCTGGGTAAGTTCATGCAAAAAAATGTTTGTAACAATAACTTGTATAAATATAAAAAATTTCGCAAAACTCTTCAAGTTGTATTTTTTATTTATTGTTTTGAATTTAGAAAAATGTGAATTTAATAAAAAAAAAATTTGACTTCTAAGAAAATGTCGGTACACTTCACAAATTTTGACTCAATTTGATAAACATTATAGTGAAATATTGGAAAAAAAAACATTTTAAAAAATAAAATTTTTAGATATTACGTCATAAAGCTTTCTAATTAGATATACTGTTGACACAATATTTTTTTAGAGTAGTTTTATTCTTTTCTAGAGCAGTTGTTCTAATACCTTATCAGAATACAGTAACGTCAATCATAACAAATATTTGATTTAGAATAGAAAATTTGAATAATTTAATTTATTTTTCTTTCGCATTTTGTATAATAAATATTTAATTAAATGTATATAGAAAAATGTGTGACGCAAGTAACCTATTGTCAATAATATTTTTAGGAAATTAAAAATAATACGATAATCGAATTATTTAAGATAATTATGGAAATAATTAAGAGAAAAACGATATAAATTCTACTATTTTTAGCAGACATGTTATAGTTTTCTTTTTTGGTTGCCTCAAACTATTGAAAAAATGAAATTCCTTAAAGAAGGGTTGCTCTTTCTTTTCATTGCAATACAGATAAATACTTTCTGTTTAGCAGAAAACTTAAACGGCGAGGATGAAACAAAGGTAATAAGTTATAAAATATTCTATTTTACATTTTTTTTTAATCAGTATTAACAAACTGTTTTTTTAAGTAAAAAATTTCATTTTTTTGGGTCAGGCTAAAAAATAATTTATACTAAAATTCAAAATGTCATTTATTTTAAATCGACTTAAAAAAATTTCTTCATAATCAAGGTTTTGAAAACATCGATTTTCTCAAAGAAAGCCTAAATCCAACCGGTTTTGGTCAAAATCTGTTAGGTTCATGTAATTTAGTTGCAATTTGTCGGAAATTATCAATTTCGAATATTTTTAATTGCTTTAAAAATTTTTCATCAAAATCGAGATTTTCGAAACAACTGATTTTTTCAAAAAGCACTAAATCTGAATGGTATTGGCCAAAATCCAATTTTCGTAAAACACGAATTTTCAAGACACATGAATATGCACTAAAGCTATTCTTTTAGAATTATGTTTTAATCGAATTGTATTTTGTAGAATATTATTTTTGCATAATAGTAATTTTAAAAAAATCTTAATTTTACAGAAAGATAATTGTACAGAATTTTAATTTTGCAGAATATTTATTTGTTCGAATTTTCATTTTACAGAATAAATTATTATTAACCCATTATGAATGTTGCCGAATTTTTATTTAAACGAAAATTAATTAGCCAGAAATTCAAAACAACATAAACAACGTTTCGCACAAATTGAGATTCGATTAAATTGAATTTCTGGCTAATTACTTTTTGTCTAAATAAAAATTCGGCAACATTGATAATAATCGGTTAATAATTTATTCTGTAAAATGAAAATTCGAACAAATGAATATTCTGTACAATTATCTTTCTGCTAAATTAAGATTCTTTTAAATTATTATTATTATGCAAAAATAATATTCTACAAAATAAAATTCGATTAAAACATAATTCTAAAAGAATAGCTTTAGTGCATATTTATGTGTCTCGAAATTTCACTTTAAAAAACTGGTAAATCTTAACGGAATTGACAAAGCCAGTTAATAAGGGGAGGTTCCACTGGTTTTGATGTTTTTTTCAAAGATTTTTTTTTATAGTAAAAAAAATATTTTTTACTTAAAATTTTTTTATCTAAAAATTCATGTCTTAAGATAATCGAAAATTATTATTATTTTTTTTTCAAAATGGCGTCTTAGAAAATGGCTGCCAAAAGTGGTCCTCTCTAAAAGTGGTTCACACTTTTTCTCTGGAACGATTAATCTAAAATGAAAAAAGTAAATAGTTTCTTAATCTGTACCATTTTGGCTATCGTGTTGACTAGAATCAGAATTTTTTATTAAAAAATAACCGAATAACAGACTTTTGAATTTTTTTACCATAATTTTGCAACTTAAATTGTTTATAACTTTTTTAAATATTAATGAATTTTCAAAATCCTAGTCCACACGAAAACAACACATTCAAGGAACATGCTGTCCAAAAATCAAGTTAATTGGTTAAATACTGTTAAAATGGGAGTATGAACCAGTTGAAAATATGTGGTTTCGAGAAAAACGCGTTTAAAGTTTTTATATAAAAATTTTGGATAATATTTTTCAAGTTGACAAAAACTCAATGAATTCACTTGAATTTTGTTACTCGGGGGTTTTCGGGGTCGCTGATTACGAATTTAATGTTACTTTTTAGAAATTCAAAATGGCGGATCCAATATGGCGGACGAGTTTTACAAAAATTCATCGGATTTACTTGAAAGTCGTCAATTGGGGGTTTTTTTGGGGTCGCTGATCACGAATTTAATGTTACTTTTTAAAAATTGTCCAATTTATCTGGAACATGGTATTTAGAAGTTTTTATGGTCACTGATTAGGAATTTGAAGTCATATTATCAAGATTTATGAAAATAAAAATGGAGGATCGACTATGGTAAAAGAATTCTTGAAAAATGGCTTCAGATTCGTAATCAACGACCCCAGAAACCCCTAGATACCATGATTCAGATAAATTCGACAATTTTTAAAAACATTTGTTCGCCATATTGGATCCGTTATTTTGAATTATTTAAATCGGTCTTCTGATTCGTAATCAGCGAACCCAAAAAACCCCCGAGTAACAAGTTTCAAGCCAGTTTGCCCATTTTTGAATTTTTTTAATTTATCCGCCATATTGGAACTGCCATTTTGAATTTTGAAAATCTGATGTCAAATTCTTATTTAACGACCCTAAAAAACCCCAAATAAAAATTTTCCACCGTAATTGGTCACTTTAAACTTTTTTTAAAAACATTTTAACGACATATTGGATGCGCCATTTTGTAATTTCATAGTCGTGGCAGCTCATTTTAAAAAGAAACTCTTCATGATAGTTTTGCAAAAAGATGCATTAAAATCGGTTAACATTTGCCGCTTCGATAGAATTTCAAAACAAAAATTGCACTTTTATTACACTGTACCTCGCTTCGCTTGAAGGGGGTAGCGTTTTCGCTGTCATAAGTACCCTTAAGGGCGAGTTTTGTGCATTAGACTATTTTTACCGTATTCTTAGGTATTTATACTAACCAAAAATGAAAAAAAAAAAATTTTCGATTTAAAAAAAAAACCAGTGGAACCTCCCCTTAAGTTGAACCATTTTAGTTGGAATTTATTAGAAATTATTAATTTTATAATTTGAAATCGTTTGAATCATATTTTTTTAAATAAAATTTTAATATCTTGTTTTTAAATTTAAATTAATGATAATTTATTCATTTAATCCAAGTCTTTACAAAAAAAATGTTAATTTTTCAGAACGAAGTACCAGAACTCATGGAATTTACTGCATTTTTTTGGAAACAATTATACAAATCCTCTGTTTCCAATATTCTGAAATATTATGACCGGTTCGATATAATAAATGAGTTTATGGAGCCAAACATTAAACATCTATGTGTCGTTTTCGCAACAGATATGAAAGATAGTATAAAATTAGCTGAAATTTTGAGCAACAATAATAGACTGTTGCCTGAAAAAAAGCAAAACTATTCCGAAGCTGACAATTTATTGTATAATGAGATTGTGCAAATTTATTATCTATATTATAATAAGGAGTTATCAGCACACATCTTTGTTTTTCCTTCAAACGTACGGAATACAGTATTAGAGACTTATTTCGTAAGAAAGACTATAGACTCGTCAGAAGAATTAAAATTTGTAATGACATGTTCGGAAGAATGTAACAAACGCAACATTTCTTCAGTGGCCTATCTTACAGCAATGGCTTCGAATATAGCTACCACGAATTATGCTCAAATTGTGAATAATATTGAGAATCAAATTAGTTTTTTGCCATTAAGTTTTAAAGATCTGAGCAAATTTGAAGATGCATTAAAAGCATTTCAAAATTTAAAGAAAGAAATGGATAATGGTGTTACTATTAGATCAATTGTTGAAGTAGTCGTCAAAATGTATGAACAGCCTCATCTTATGATCAATTTAAATAAAGATCCTCAAGGAATTCTTAAGCACCATTATGATGAAAGCAATCTTACTGCGCGCAATTATGTCAGTAGGGAGAGTAATACATTAAAATATTCCCATCTTTTCGCGAATGAAAAGGAAAATTTAGATTTTTTAAAAAAACCATATTCCCACATAGAGCCTTTATCAGTGGATATAACCCCCTTACGAGGTTTATTAAATTTTCCCGATTGGCTGGGGAAAATTAGTAACACGCCACAGCCATACAAAGATTCAATGGACTCTGAAGAGGAAAGATTTATTAAAAATGCTTGTAATAATAAAGGAAATAAGAAACAACTTGAAATCATTAGGCAAGTTTGTTTAGTGTACTATTTGCTTGACATAGTCCCTTATTCGATATTCATTTATTTTCAAAATATTACTATTGATTATTATTTGCGAGAGGAAAAAGACTTCTTTTCTAAATTCTCATTAATGTATAAAAATAAAGTTAATGGGAATAAAATAGAAATTCCCAATCAGCCACAGGATATGTACGAAAAAATAATTAAACTTAATGAACCAAAGAAAGATATAATGTTGGAGGCATTTTTCGTTTTTATCAATTCTCTAAGTCCGGAAGCAGAACATTTGTGTACGAAAATAGACGAGGAAACCTATAAATTGCAAGTTAAAGGAAAATTTTTAATCCTTAGTCAAATTATGCGCAAGAATTATTGTTCTGGAAAAGTGAGAATCCTAGAACTTTTAGCTCTTGACAAAATTGTAATTAATGAAGATTTAGTCACTAATGAAATAAAATCAATCATTATAATGGCACCAATTTGGGATATTGTTTGGAACAGAGTTATACATTTAGATCGTATAAATGATTTTGCAGGATCATTTTACGGAATCGCTAATACTATCATTAATGATAGAAATTTGTCGATTAAAACTACATCTGGCACTACAAATAGACAACCAAAAGATGTACATGCATATGATATATTTTATGAGACACCTTATTTATCGGGACAAAATATTCATGGTCCAGGTATTGAAGGCAAGGTCGAAAAAGGTGCAACTTCAGAACAGATTCAATTTTTCTCCTTAAATGACACTGGTTTCAATATAAATGTAACGGAATTATACTATTATTTTCTAATTAAACAACCAATAGTAATAAATGAATTCACGCCAGCTTTAGTGAACTATAGGAAATATGTTTTGGAGAATACGATAAAAACGAGTAAAACAAACTACGCGGATTTGTATGGAAAACTCAATACAAACGTGCATCTTATAAAAAATCTCAGCACGCCAGTCTTTATTGATGAGTTATATTATTTGGAAGAAAATAATTCCCCCGGATCAAATGAATCCATTTTACACTCATTGTATCTGGGATTGCAAGACGGACTCTATTTGTATGAAAATGACCCACAAAGACTTGAGGGAACAGATGATTACAAATTATTTCTTTCTAAATTGGGAATAATGATATCGACAAAGACAGATCAATTGTATGGAAATTATCATAATTATGCTGTTGTTAACATTAATGAATACATAGAACATTGCAAAGAATATGGCAAACAATTACGAAATTTGGAAATTATCAAGACATTCCGCGTAGTTAGCACTAAATTTAAAAAAGAATTTGACGAACAAATCGAGGAAGCTTCAAAATTAATTAAAAGTAACCTCCAAGTTATTGTAGAGAAAAAATTCGACGATTTGAATAAGGAGATTGAAAAATTAGTAAAGGAAGTTAAAGACTTGATTAAGAAGGGAGAACAAACACTTGAGAAATTGAAAGAGAAAAAAAAAGAACTAGAACTTCAACTTTTTTTAAAGTCAATATTTACTATTTTCAAATTTATTCTTTATGGATTATCGTTCATAAATCCCGTTTGTGGGGCAGTTGGCGCAGTAATATCTGCAGGTTTAGATATCGGCGAAGCAATATGGTTAAACGCTGATGCAGAATCAGACTTCAAGGAATTTAAAATACCAGATTCAGTATCTACAGATGTAAAAAGTTCTTTAACAAAATATAGTGAGGAAGCAAAGAAAGAATATGAAGAAGTTGAAAAGCAATTAAAAGAGATAAATGCAGAGAAAGAGAAATTATCAGAAGAGGAAGCTAAGCCGCTGAATGATGTGGTAAAACTAGTAAATCAAACATGTACTTCAGACTTGTCATTTTCAAAGAAATGTATGACGGAAATTTTGGAAACAAAAGAAACTGAATTGACGACAAAGAGTTTAAAGGAGAAGAAGAACTATGATAGATCATTGAAAGTTATTAAAGGAGCGGAAGTTGCTCTAGACGTTGTTAAGTTAGGAGTAGACAGCTACAACAAAATTAAGAAAGATGTATCTGCAATAGAAAAAATTGATCAGGAAATTGATAAAGTGGGTAAAAATATCAAAAAATTGCAAGAATTCGAAAAGAAGATTCACAAAACTTTAAAACCACAAATAGAGTCAATTCGAAAAGGAATTCGTGAAACAACTAAAGGATATAATATATCTTCAAGAGCACTTCTTGAATATAAAAAATTCGAAATGGGTGAATATTTAAATAAAATTTCGTCAGAGCTAGATGGCTGGACTAAACAATTCAATGTCAGCAAAGAAATTCAGGATACAATGGGACAATTAAAAGCCGCAATGAATACAATTATTCAGATGCACACTCTTATTAAGGAGTTTGATTTACATAAAAGACAGGCAGACTATTTGACAGAGGTTGCGAGTGTACCTTATACAAACACAAATGTAAAAGATTTAAAATTCAAAGAAATTTTAGCTAGATCAGATGTGGCTCATATAGCAAAAATTATTATTAACGATTATGACAAGTTATCAATTGCTATGAAAGGTTACGCATATCCATTTCTAAGAGAATACTCAGACTTCTTCACTAGACCGAACATAATGTTCAATAGTAATTTCTTAAAAGCCAGCAACATAGTTGATAAAATTACTCAATTAAATTTAAAATTACAAGTTAGAAAAGGTCACGGTGAAATATTTAAACAATGCAAATATGATAAATTTGGACTTCCTGGTGGTTATTCTGCATTTTATACCTGGAAGAACAATACTCATTCGTCATATATTAAAGACATTCTCGAAGGAAAGAAAGTCGTGCTATATGCAAATATTTCGCAACAACCAAATTTCAATGCCATAAAGTTTCAAAATATAGATTTTTTGTTTTCTTCACCTGATAAAGAAACAAATGCCCAATTACAGAAAGACTTTAATGATTTTCACGTTTTGTTTACTCATCATGGGGATTCTCACTACAGATGTACCGATAAAATACACGTAATAAAATCAGGTACTTATGGCACATTTTTTCAGTCCATCACATCAACAAGAAGTAAGCGTCAGGTTTCTAATAGTAGAAATGATAAACATAATATTGATTATGTTTTGAGTCCTTTTGCAACATGGACAGTTCAACTTAAAGCTCTCCAGAATGGGCAAAATTTGACTTCTTTAGCTAAATATGTGAATAAAGTTAATCTAGAATTGGTTGGAGAAGGTCAGTACTTGGTGGCAGATGAAAATGTTTGTAAAGAATACATTGAATGAATAAGTTCCAATTATGTTAATTTCAATATAAATGAAATCTAGATTGTTTTTAAATTTTTGTTTAAAGTTGAAAAAAAAGAAAAAATGGAATTCATAAAAGTGTGTTGTACACGGAGAGAAATAGATGGTAAGAATTTATGATCTTAAGATGGTACACTGAAAAAAATTTGCTTCACATTAATGACTATTAACCATAGCAACTTTAAATCTAGTCAATTCAGTTATGTAGCTTGGTTAATATTGTCAAAGTTGATTTAGTAGTATTGACCCCTTGTTTCCTAGTTATATTAACTAAGGTGTTTGGTTAATATAGCATGTATCTATAGTCAATTTTGCTAAAGTTTAATTAGTCAAAGTGATTCTAGCCAATGTAACTAAGATACCTGGTTATTCTGATAAGCTTCCCTCGTCATTCCGACTAATTGTCGAAATCAACTTTGACCAGGATTACCTGGTGGGTTCCTCTCGTAACCAGGCAATTTAGTCAATTCCTGGTATACGGGGGTTAGGAATTTTTTTCAGTGTAAAAAGTAGATGTTATCCAGCACTATCATTATGCTACTTGGTACTATCAAAGATGTTACAAAAAGGATAGTTATGTTACCCACTACAATCAAGACGTTACTTCGTACAATCTGGATTGTAACTGATAGAATCTAGATTGCTGATCCGTATATGTAAGATCAAATATGGTACCTGGTACTATCTAGTTAGTACCCCGTACCATCTATTTCTCTCCGTGTTCAATAATTTTAAGTTTACCTTATGTTTTTATATTTAGTTGTTTTTGTAAGTTTTGTTTTTATAAATACTGTTTTATTTTTATATTAGGGTGACCAAAAAAAGTGAAAAAACTAATAATGTTTTATCTAAATTCTACTATAATTTTCAGTGCCGCGATGATATTACTCAAGTTGTACAGCTCAGAAAAGGTTTTTCGTAGTTTTCCTTTAACTCTGATGTTTTGGAAAATTTTGTATAATAAGCGTTGAATTTGTAAGGACAAGTTTTAATAAAAAAAAAAGTTTCTAAAAAGTTGTTTTACTCATTATTGATACGGCAGAGTCCTATAAGAAATTTTTTTAAATCCGAATATGAAAGACCTGGATTAAACTTGTTGCATAATTTATCTTTTATTTCCTCACTATATTCTCGATAAAATGCAGAAAACATTCACAATGCGTAGTTTTAAACACATAAAATTATATAAAGTTTTGTAATATATATATATATATATATATATATATATATATATATATATATAACATTCCATGAGTTTTTTATCACTTTTCGGAGTAACCTTTCCAAATTAAATGAAAAATTTTTTTTATAATATTTATTAATATAAAGATCCAAAATAATCACTTTTTAATTAAAAACAATTGTTTATTTAAAAAATACAACAATAAATAATGAAAAAAATTAACTTTTTTCTGCAACACCAAATACATAGGTTTAAAGATCAAAATTTTCCTTCTTTTTCAAGCTTTAATACCGCACAAGAAAAATAATGTATTTCAAAATAGTTAACTCACAATTTATTAAACAATTTTTGTTTTCTTTTTTGTATTTTATTTATTGTGAAACGTCTGCTATCGCTGCGCGCGACGTTCGGAAGTTGTCGCTTTTGTTATTGAGCAGAAGCTCATTACACTAGCGTAGTAGAAAGCATGTTGTGTGAAAAGTGAGGTTATGTTGTCATTGAACCCATTGAACGAAACGTAAACATTTCTGGTTGTTACATTGAATGGTTTTTAATTATCTACTTTGCAGTAAAAAAAATCATAAAAAACATTTTTGAAGGATGCGAGATGAAAAACCTCACTTTTTACACAACATGTTTTTTACTACGCTAGTGTAATGAGCTTCTGCTCAATAACGAGAGCGACAACTTCCGAATGTCGCTCGCAACTATAGCAGACGTTTCACAATAAATAAAATACAAAAAAGAAAACAAAAATTGTTTAATAAATTGTGAGTTTACTATTTTGAAATACATTATTTTTCTTGTGCGCTATTAAAGCTTGAAAAAGAAGGAAAATTTTGATTTTTAAACCTATTTATTTGGTGTTGCAGAAAAAATGTGAATTTTTTTCATTATTTATTTTTGTATTTTTTAAATAAACAATTATAAAAATAAATATTATAAAAAAAATGTTTCATTTAATTTGGAAAGGTTACTCCGAAAGGTGCTAAAATAACTCATGGAATGGCACATGCATTTTTTTTAAATAAATAATTGCAAACGAAAGCTGAGCTTTTTCTGATCTGTATATAAATTTTCAAAATCCCAAATTTTTTTGTTTTTGAGACATTAAATGTCAAAGATTTTATGTCAATATCTCGAAAACAAAAAAAATTGTCATTCTGAAAATTTATATATGGAAAAAACCTCAGCTTTCGCTTGCAACTATTTATTTAAAAAAAAAACGCATCGAATTTAGTGAAAATAGCAAATTTATGTTTAATTATAGAAAATCAAGGTCAAAATTCAAAAATTTTAAAAAACGAAATTCACTATTGGAAAGAGCATGAAAGAACCTTCAAAAAACATACCTGCCAAAATTTTTTTTAATGCATTTATAGACAGAAAAAATTCAAATAGTAGGCGGTGTCAGGGAAAACTGATAAAATTGACCCCCTCTATCTCCCCCAAAATTTCAAAAAAGTCAAAAATTTTTTTTGGGTATATTTTACTATCAGGTTGGAACAATTTCCCCAAGTTTCACTTTTTTCAAGAAATCAATTTTTTAAACTCAGGACATTACACTTAAAATGCCTCATATATATATATTAATTTTGAAATAATAAAAAAAGTTTAAAACTATTTTTGAATATCGTAATCAAATTAATAATATATATAGGGTAAGTGCATCAATTACGGCGCGTTCATAAAAAATAACTATTATTACTATTTTATTTAATATAACTGTTGCAAAATGATTTAAAAAAATTATTTTAATCTTTTCTTGATACAATTACTTATAAAGATGCACATTTAAACAATTATTAATTTAATAATTTGAGATCAAATTTTTTCCCTCGCCGTAATTGAAACATTTTTAAGATTTCCATTGGCTCCAATTTCGGAGGACAAAGTATCTTTAAAATACACTTACAGGTCTCGAACTCATTTCGGCCATGAAAAAAAGTGGCAAAAAAGTGTCATAAAATGTTGAGAAAAGTGGCAAAATAGTAGCATATTATTTACAAACATATACGTATATGCCTATAAATTTATTTATTAATGCGTGTTTATTAAATTTTTATAATTATGAAAATAACGAAATTAATAATTATTTTTTTTAAATTGTTTTTATTTTATAAAACATTTTAAAAATGCAATAAATTAAACATGTTTGAAATTCTACATTTACAAAAGTTATTCAATGGTAATAGTTTTTGGTGTGTTGTCCGATGTTTTAATACTTTCAATTTTTTTAGATTTATTTTCAGTCTTGGAACTTTTACTGACATCTATTTTACGCTGCGAGTTTCTGGTTTTCAATTTTTTTGACGAAGAATCATTTTTGGTAACAGTGTTTTTCTCGGTGTTTAAATATCTAAATAACATAAGCTTTTAGTTTAATAAATCTTAAATTGAGTTTATACAATAGAAATGTCGAATTTTCTATTTCAAAGGTATTTTCACTCGAATCGCGTCATAATTAGTACATTTACCCTATTAGACTTGATAAAAAAAAGAAATTATATAATTAAATATAGTCCGTTAATGTATATTTATTTTTTAATAAAAGATGACAATTCGCTTAAAGTGGCCATAAATGGTACTTCTATAGCATATTCTTTATTTGAATATAGTAGATCTCTAATCTACCGGTTGGAACTGAACAGCGCCATAAAAGACTTTTTAGAAATCCGTTGCAAGCGCTGATTTTCATCTTTATTCTCGACACAATACCCGTCAGTCATAGTCATTCAATTGTTACAAAACTTCTTTCTCCAAAGATTACTTTTAGAACAAAAAGAACTTTTAAATGTAATGTCTGATTAAAAAACGTAATAAAATAGATAGAACATTTTTTTAGAAGGCATACAACTTTATTATTGCGAATCGATGACATTTTTTTGAGATGAGTCGTATTTCCAAATAAAAAATGAAGGTCATTGAAGGAAAAGTTGTTTTGTTGGGTGCACAAGGTATGTAAAAGAAAAAAAAAAATTTTCTTGCAATTTGAATTTTATTTTCTTTCTTTTTTTATACTTTTTTTTTTTTTAAAGGTTGTACTACTATCACGTGAGTTTTTATTTGAATTTTAACCGTGTAAAGTGAAATTTTTATATATAATTTTTTTAGTTTCTTCGAAAGTAATTGTTTATGTTTAGTAAACGACTTTTTTTTAAGAATTATTTCCTTGTTTGATAAAATGCAGTTGTACCAACTATATATTTTAATCTTGCATTTTAAAAAGGGGGAAAAAAAAGATTGTCACATTGTTTACAATTTCACGGAAATCACATGGAAATCCCTGAAAATCAGCGCTCTCTGGTGAAGCATTTTGGAGATACAATTGATTTTTATTGTATTTGAAAAAATCATAGGATAACAAAAAAAAATGTTTTTCAAAACTAAATTTACGATTATTTATTCAAAAAAATAATTATTAACAAGTATTCTAATAACTATTTCTTTTAAAAATTATTATATTTACATTTATTATCATAATATAAAAATAAATAAATAATTTATATTTTCAAATTAACGTAATTTTTTGAATAAAATATGATGCGACATTAATATAATATTTATATGAAATATAAATATTTTAAATATATAAATAATTCTACGCACATTTAACATTTTTATAATTATATTACTCAGTCGGCAAAATGAGACTAAAATTGAAACGATATGATCCGACAGCAACATGTTGGGAACCATTATTTTTCAATTTTGACCCATTTTGGATTGTAAAAAAAAAATAATAATAAACTATATAAAAATTACAGTGGAATAACAATTGGTTTTGGAGAAAATTTAAAAGTTAAGGTTCAAATATTTATTTTATTTTTTTTTTTTGCATTTTGCTTTCTTATAGAGAACAAAATTATTTTTTAATTATTTTTTTAATTTTTTGTCAATTTGCAAATTTATATAAAAAATGTCAATGTTCAAAAATGTTTGTAAAAAAAAGCTTTCAAATTTAACAAATTTAAAACCTAATCCGATCATGGGCAAACAATTTTTTCAATATTTTCGGAATTTTTAAAAAATTTTCGAAATATAAAAAATTCTTATTTATGATTTTTTCGTTTTTTAAGATATGCAAAAAAAATTTAAATAAATTTTTTTAAATTAAAAAAATTTTAAACATGTAGAAATTGCATTTAAATCAAATTTAAATTTTAGTTTCAAAATTTCTAATTATTTAAAATTTTTTAAATTAAATATAATTTACATTTTCATCGAAACTACATATGTATAATAAAATTTAAATCAACTTTTTTTAAAAAAAATATAAAAATACACAGTTTGACTAACTTTTATTACGATTTTTTGTTTGATTCTTCCTTAAAATTGTTAGTAGAATCTATGTTAAAAGCAAGAATATTTTTATTTAATGCAGTATAATTTTATTATATTGTATAATTATATTTTCTTCGTTTTTTAATGAGGAAGAAGATAGAGTTTTTTGTTTTTCGATTTTATCAAAAATATCATCAAAAAATTACAAAAACTTATCATGACAGTTCAGCTGACAGAACCAGGGACGTGGTTTAAAATTTCTCTGGGGTAGTTTTCCACCCCAGTTGAGATTTTTAGGGTTAACAAAAGTTTTGTTAAATAATAATTTCGTGATACAAAAATTTTCGAATAATTTCGAATTGAAATACATTTTTTATATCTCATGCACTTTTTTAAAATTTTGTATATTTTTACCCAAAAAAAAAAAAAAAATGATAGGCCTTTTTTATAGTTTTTACCATAAAAATCAAATTTTTGGGCATTACACTGAAAAAAATAGTATTGAATCAAGAAAACCTATGTACTTGACCGTATTTTATACCAATATTTTCTTGATCCAAGAAATTTTTATTAGTTTGAAGTAAATTTTCTTGGATCAAGAAAATATTGCGTCGATTGAGGGCAGAAACACGCCAATTCAGGCGAATGTTGAGAAACATGACAATCTAAAAAATATTAGAGAAACCTGCCATTCCAGTGAAGATTTCAATAACATGCCATCTCAGATATCAAATTTTTGTTGATTGTTTTAGATTGGTAACACTGTAAACGAAAAATTGATGAGTCAAAATAATTAATATTTTGTTGAATATTGATGGTTAAGTCGGTAGAACCTTTAATAATTTTATTATTAATAATTATACTTTTTTTAATTTTTAATATTGATTTCAAGAATAAAATTTTGTTTACTATAATATAACATTTTCAAAAAAGTGTTACCAACCTAAAACAATCAACAAAAATTTGACATCTGAGATGGCATGTTTTTGAAATCTTCACTGGAATGGCAGGTTTCCCTAATATTTTTTAGATTGTCATGTTTCTCAACATTCGCCTGAATTGGCGTGTTTCTGCCCTCAATCGACGATTGGTATAAAATACGGTCACATTAATCTCTCGAAAATGACGAGATGATTTTTAAAAATACCCCAAAAAAAAATTTTATCGTCTTTTTTCCAAAAATTTTTAAATCGAAAAATTTAAGTTATAATATATAACATAATCTTACGTCAAGATGAATCGATTGTTATATATATAAAGTATAGATTTGATTGAAATTTAAAGAATTAATGAAAGTTAAAAAATCAAAAATTCACATTTTAGCTAAAAAATGTTTTGTTTATTTAAATTCATGTTTATATATGAAATAATTTTATTCCCTGCATTGAAACGAATTAGTTGGTATATACATAAAGTATAGATTTGATTTAAAATTTGAGAATTAATAAAACTTGAAAAATCGAAAATTCATATTTTAGCTAAAAAATTTTGTGTTTTTTTAAAATTCAAGTTAATGAATAAAATAATTGTATTCCTTGCATTGAAACGAATCGATTCGTATATATAAAGTATATGTTACACCCAAAATTAATTAAAATTTTCTTAATTTTTTCAAAAAATTTAATTAATTTAATACAGTTTTCAATTCCAAATTTTTAAAATCAATCAATTGAATTGGAGAAATTCATAGCTTCCTCTACGAGGAAGCAAATTTTTTGCTTCACACAATGAGGAAGCAAAATGTTTATGAAATAAACATAAAGGACCCCCTCTTTGTTCATAGTGTTTTTGGAGGGACGCATAATTATGTTCTAAAAATTATTAGTTAGAATTTTCATTTTATGGAATTTCATTTGCAGGCCTCGGATAATACGACTTTTTCGACTATTTTCGACTTTTTTAAACTTATTTTAATAAAATGCGACTATTTCGACTTTTTTTTTACATTTTTAAACAAATTTTTAAATAAAATATATTTTTTTTAGTATAAAATGCAGATCTTCTTCAGATCTTTTTTATTTCAATTATTTAACAAATTTTTGACTAAAATTCTTCACTAAATTAATTATTTTTAATAATTTTAATGAAATTCATCACAAATTCAATTATTTCAAATTATTTTTCAATTAAAATTTTTATGAAATTTAACAATTGTTTATAATTTTAAAAAAATATCAAATAAAATTACCAAAATTTTTTAATTCAAAATTAAATAAAGTTCAATTATTTTCAAAAATTTCAATTCAAAATCAACTAAAATTCAATTATTACCCAAAATTTCAATTCAAAATCAATTAAAATTCAATAATTATCCAAAATTTCAATTCAAAATTAATTATTATCAAAATTTTCAACCAAAAATCAACTAAAATTAAATTATTATCCAAAATTTCAATTGAAATTCAATTATTTTCAAAAATTTGAATTTAAAAGCTTCTAAAATTTTCTATCGAAAAATTTTTGAAATTTAATAATTTCAATTATAACTCACCGAAAATTTAATTATTTTTAAAACGATTATCTATATTACAAAATTTTTATATAACCAAAAATTCACTTCACAGAATTTTTATTTGTCAGAATTTTTATTTGCTCGAATTTTCATTTAACATAATAGGCATTTTAAAGAATTTTTATTCAGTAGAATTTCATTGCATAGAATTTTCTTTCAGATAAATTTTCATTTGTTAGAATTATTATTTGAGATAATTTCTATATAACCAATTCTTCAAACTATAGAATATTTACTTAACCGAAAAATCATTTTACATAATTTTTAATTGATAGAATTTTCATTTGTCCGAAATTAGGCAAACGGTCGAACAAACAATCGACAGAAAGATTTCGGCGCGATTTTTAAAATCAACCAATAATTGTAGAATTTAATTAGAAATATAAATTCAACGAAATTTATTAGAATATTTTAATTATTTCCGATTATTTATTAAAATATTTTTTTTTTTTATATTTTCAGCTGTAGGGAAGACAAGTTTACTGATGCGATACGTAAACGACACCTTCGATAATCATAGTCCTCCAACGATAGGCGCTTCATTTTGTACTTGCAATCTATCAATTGGCGATATCAAAATTATTTTTCAGGTAAAAAGAAATCTCTTTTTTCTCTACTCTTATAATTAGGAATTTTGTATTTTAAAGTAAATTCTTTTAATTCTTACAGGTTTGGGACACAGCAGGAATGGAAAGATTCCGATCAATGGCACCCATGTACTATCGAAAAGCAAATGCTGCTCTTCTTGTTTTTGACTTGACGAATCATGCAAGTTTTGCCATGGTAAAAAGTTGGGTATCTGAATTAAAGAGAAATATTGAGGAGGCTATAATTCTTATTGTTGTCGGTAATAAAAGTGATTGTGTAAATGAGAGAAAAATTGATTCCGAAGAAGGGAGAAAATATGCTGTCTCAATAGGAGCATTCTATCATGAAACATCAGCACTTTATGGAGAAGGTATTGATGCAGTTTTTCAAACAATTGCCACTCAAATGTTAAAGCTAAGTGATCACAAACACCTAATTACAAGTATTAAAGTTTATAATTCTAATGCGGATGACAATATTTTAGTGACTCCAGCTAGTGAAGACTTTCATAATACTAGTATTGCGCATGGTGTTCACGAGAAACCATTTTTATGTTGTTAGTTTAACAAAAAAAAAAAATGGAGGCACATAATTATTCCATAATTAAACGTAATTAAAAAAAAAATCATTTTTAAATGCCAAAATTTTCATTAAACCAAATCCTCATTTGTTCGAATTTTTATTAACACAAAATGTTATTTAATAGATATCTTAAAACTGAGAATTTTCATTTAACCTGCATTGCAAATGATCGAATAATCAAATGGCAAAAATATTTCGGTGCCAATTTTAAAATTGACCAATAAAAAACTGTCACTAAAATTGTGATTGGTAAATTTTAAAATTGGCACCGAAATATTTCTGCCCCTTTGCTTATTCGACCATTTGCAATGAAGGGGAAATGAAAATTCTGAGTTTTAAGATTTCTATTAAATGACGTTTTGTGTTAATAAAAATTCGAACAAAATGAGGATTTGGTTTAATGAAAATTCTGGCATTTAAAAATTCGACTCAGACGAAATTCTGTTTAATAAGAATTCTAATAAATAAAAATTCAGATTAAAAAGAATTCATTTTAATAAAAAGTGTGCTAAATGGAAATTATATTCAGAAAGAATATTCTGTTAAATATAAAAATTCTGGTTAATTTAAATTTTATTAAATATTAATTCGAATAAATAAGGAAAAATAAACTAATTCACATTATGGAATAATCATGCGCTCCGAAAAATGAGATTTAATCTCTTTTTTATTTTAAAAATTACACTTATTTTTAATTTCATTAAAATAATATAATATATAAATGACGATATTCCGCAAAATGAAATTTATTTAATTCAAATAATCGGTTACTTGATTATTATCAAATAAATATTTATTTTTATATATTATACATTAGTATATCAAAATTATTTATTATTTGAGTCAATTAAATGGTATTTGTTTCAAATACAGAAATTATTTTTTCAAATAATTATTGTTTCAAATACAGTTTATTTAATTCAAATAAAAATTATTTGGTTCATGTAAATATTTATTTGATAATAGTAAAGTAACCGATTATTTGAATCAAATAAATTTTTTTCAGTGCGCAATTACAGCTTTTAAAAATGTCCGCTAATTCCTATACTTCCCTTTGAATAGGATTTTTTTACAAAATCTGAAAAACTATTAAAAATTGAAAAATTATTATAACATTTATAAAAATTGTTTTAATAATATTGATATTTAAAAATCTGGATTAGTAACATTTTTAACTAATTTGAATTAGTGATTCAAAAGCAAAAAAGTGAAAGAAAAAAAATTGCCGAACATTTTTAAAAAGTGCAACTGCGCAAACACCGTCAAGTCGCTTTTGAAATTTTAATTTAATAAATTTTAATTTTCGTTTCACATATATGAATATGTGTTCACAAGCATCTGCTGAAATGAAGACTGATTGAGATGCTCAAATTTTTAATTTTTATTACATTCTAAAAACTAAGATAACATTTGCTGTGACAAATCAAATCTTTTACAAGATTTATATATAATATTTGTGATTGTGCGTCGTACATTGAAAGAAATTTATTAATGATTTTTAAAGCCGTATAAATTTATAAAAACGTTAAACAAATTTCTTTCATTGTAAGCGAACTTATTATTATAGATTTTTTTAAAAAATGGTTATATTGTATACATTAATATAAGCCCAAAATAAGTTTTCAAAAAAGTGAGAATTCACTATAGTCATATATTGTATTCTTTCAACAGTTGCCAAAAAAAAAAAAAAAAATGTTTATTAAGAAACTTCCAGTTAGGTGCTAAGATGTACAATATAATGATTAAATTATTAACGAATGTATTACACTGGTGCAAAATATCAATTAAAAGTATAAACTAAGGAAATTTTAAAAAGTTTATAATTTTCATAAGAAAATATTCCATAAGAACTTATTTTTATATAATAGAAAAAAAAAAACAGTTTTGTCAATATTTTATGGAAGTTAACAAAAGCGAAAGTGCCTTCTGTAACAAATAGGAAAATAAAAATATATTTTTTCTTTTAAAAACAGAGTTTATTATTAATGATATATTCCACGCTAAATCAGGACAATTTATATTTATATAGGGTCAGTTGGCATAAATGGGGACAAAATCGCTATTTTTCACAAATTACGTAAGTTTCTTCCATTAAAAGGTAATATTTGCGGGTTTATTTTTTTTTTAAGTTGTTATTTACATTCCCAGGATTAATTTTATGCAGCAGAAAAAAATTTAGATAAGCTTTAAACGCATGAAACTGACTGTCCCTATTTACCCCAAAATTTAGAAAATTTCATAAAATTTGAGGTAAATAGGGACAGCATAGTTTCTAAGAAAGTTTTCAGAAAAAAGTTGCCTTAAGTATATTACTGTATTAAGGGATGAAAAAACTTGAAAAAAATTTGTAGTAGATATATATAATAGTTGAACCAGTTGAAATTTTTTAATTTAAAAAATTTTTTTTTATTTCAGTATTTTGTCTCGCATTTGAAAAAAAACAGACTTAAAAATCATACCAAATTTTTTTCTTATTCCTTATGACTCCCATAACAGAAATTCACTTGAATTTTTGATTTTTGTTAATTTGGTTAATAATAACAAGCTGTCTCCATTTACCCCAAAAATTTGAAAATGAGGGTAAATGGGGACAGCTTGTCATTATTAACCAAATTGATAAAAATCAAAAATTCAAGTGAATTTCTGTTATAGGAGTCATAAGGAATAAGAAAAAAATTTAGTATGATTGTTAAGTCTGTTTTCTTTGAAATGCGAGACAAAATACTGAAACAGTTTGACTTTGATTTTCAACTTTTTTTATCTTCCTGTCAATTGTCAAGATAAAAGCTTGGCAATACTCAAAACCTCTTGCGGGTGATCTGAAGTTAAAATATTGACGTTGAACTTAATTTTAAAACTGTAAATTAAGCTCCAAAACCTCTTGTCCCCATTTACCCCAACTGACCCCACATCTCCTATTTTTGAAATTTTTTTTCATTTAGTACTAATTGAGACTAGCTTTCATGATTTTTTTTTCAATTTTTTTATCAAGCCGTTTACAAGATATTGATTTTTCAAACAAAAATTTTTAAGTTTTTTTTTTATTTTTTAAGCAGAAAAATAAATAGAATAGCCACAAGACAAGTCAAGGAAAAAAATATCAGGAAAATTTGGAAAATTTAATAAAATTTACAGAAAAATTAAATTTTTTTACTTCCTGTATATGTAAAAAGTATTAACAATTGTTGCCTTTAGAAAGAATCAAATTTTAATCGATTTATATTTCAAAATTGTCCAAATTTTAATGTTATCAAAATTTTAATTGGCTAAGATTCAATTTTTTCAATTTTTAATTGACTTAAGTTTTTAAAATTATTCAAAATTCAATTTATCAAAATTGTAAACTAATTCATAAAATTTTTTTCCAGTAAAGTAAAAGACAGTTTAGTTGTAATAAGATACCTCTGGTATTCCTATAACTTTAATATTAGTAGTAGAAAACAATTTAAGCCAGACAAAACTTTCAATATATAAAATTCTAGTATCAGTAGCAAAAGTCACTTTCAAGCGCAAGACTGCGTCATTTCTAGTTTGAAATTAAATGCGGCGTTTTATGACAAATAATGTCCTTTTTAAAAGACTATAATAGAATTTCTCTTTTTTACTTAAAAAGCAAATCTTGTCATTTTTATTTTAAAAAAGTTTATTCAAATTTTAAAATATCCTTTCTATTCAATGTAAATTTTAATTTAAATTTCAAAGTTTAATAGATTTAAGTTTCAAATTAACCGAATTTTAATTTATTAAAATTTTAATTAATTTAAGACTCAAAATGAACCGAATTTTAATTTATCCAAAATTTAATTGACTTATATTAAAAATTATATGTACAAATTTAAATTGATATTTAATTTTTAAAATTATCCGAATTTTAATGGGACGCATGATTATGTTCTAAAAATCATTATTTAGAATTTTCATTTTATGGAATTTCATTTGTCATAATTATTTTTGAGTCGAATTTTTATTTGTTCGAATTTTCATTTAACATAATAAGCATTTTAAAGAATTTTTAATGGATAGAATTTCGTTGCATAGAATTTTCATTTGTTCGAATTATTAATCGATATAATTTCCATATAACCGATTTATCAAACTAACACAGAATTTTTACTTAATCGAAAAATCATTTAACAAAATTTCTAATTAATAGAATTTTCATTTGTCCGAAATTGCAAATGGCCGAACAAACAATCGACAGAAAGATTTCGGCGCGATTTTTAAAATCAACTAATCAAAAATTATCCATAAAATTGTGATTGGTTGATTTTAAAAATCGCACCGAAATCTTTCTGTCGATTGTTTGTTCGGCTATTTGCAATTTCGAACAAATGAAAATTTTGTTAAATGATTTTTCGGTTACGTAAAACTTCTGTAATGTATAAAATCGGTTATATAGAAATTATATCAAATAATAATTCAAACAAATGAAAATTCATCTGAAAAAAAATTCTATGCAATGAAATTCTACCCAATAAAAATTGTTTAAAATTCCTTTTTATGTTAAATGAAAATTCGGGCAAATAAAAATTCTGAAAATCGTTTTGATGAAAATTCTACAAAATACTAATTCGAATAAATAAAAATTCGATTCAAAACGAATTATGACAAATGAAATTCCATAAATAGAAATTTCTAACTATTGATTTTTAGAACATATCACTTAAAATTTAAATTATGTACATTCACTTTATTCAATGTTCTGCAAGTTCTCAATCTTTTTCAAAATGAACGGTTCGCTTTCAATTTGATTCTGAAAAATATGTATACTTTTCTAAAAAAAAAAAAACTAACACCTCCTGACCTATCTTCATATTTTTTTTTCTTCATCGTAATAATAACTGAATAAAAATCACATACATTTTATTATTTCTTTTTTACAATGCTGGCTACGATTATTATCTAACGTGTGAGACAGAATCGAAAGAAACGTTTTTGTATTTGAAGTAATATATGTTTATAAAGCGATGATGCATTATGGGAAAGTACGGTCACCGAACTGTGAATGAAACTATTTATTATGTGAGAAAAGAGAAAAAAATCTACAACGAGGAGACACAACAAAGAAATGATTTTTCAAAGAGATGCCCAATGATGTCATTAATAAAAATCATGTTCATATTCTCAATGTATATATATCTTATAAAAAATTAGTTTAAAGAAATTAGAATAGCCAATAATTAAAAAAAAAAAAAAGACGTGGACTGTAACGATCGAATGAATGTATCGAAACTCGAATTATGAACAGTGATCTGATTGGTCAAATCGAAGCAGCTTGTGCTTGTTTGAAATAATTTATAAATTCAACTTAACAAATTTTTAAATAGAAATTAACATATTACGTTTTCATTATAATTATTTATTTATGAAAATAAATTTCCAGTTTACATATATTATGAAAAGTTTATTGTAAATAGTATATGGAAGCCACATCGAAGGCGCCCACACAGCACATAAAATTTCCTGAATTTGTCCTGAATATTTCATTGAAAGATTCGAAATATTTCAATGAAAGATCCATGAAATTTTGATGCAAGCAATGAAATGTCCGCCTATAAGAAATATTGCAGTTCCGATTGTACGAAAAATTTCAGCGAAATGTTCAGGAAATGTGAGGATGAAAAATTACTGACATATTATTTTTTAATATTTGCAAAATAAAAAAATGAAATATGTTACAAATTTTTAAGTGAAATATTTTGAAAAGATTATTCATTAAAATTCTAGAAATATCGAAAGGAAATATTTCTAAATTGTTAAAAATACATATTTAGGCAATATCATCCGGATATATTTGTGAAAAATAAAAAAAATGAATTATAGAAATAAATTGCGGTAGTGATTGTGAAAATATGTGACAAAATTAGTTGACCGATAGTAAACCTTTGGGGCCGTCCAGATACCACGTGGACAATTTTTCATCACTTTTTGACCCCCCCTCCCCCCCTCGTGGACAATTGTGGACTTTTTACGAACCCCCCCACCCCCCTAAATGTCAAGGTGGACTTTTTTTGGTGAAAATTTTGTGTTTGTATGTTTCTTATTTTAAAATGGTAAATAAATAGATATTTAATAGTTATTAGAAAACATTTAGTCACTGTTTCTTTTAATTATAAAAAATAATTTTCAAGTTTACTGCTAGTAAACTTGAAATTTTGCTAAGCAAAATAACATTTTTGGTTGAATCACATAACAATCACATTGGTAACACATCTTAGAATAACGTTTACCAACTAAATACCATTATTTTTTGGTATCGTCGAGATATTTTTGGCAAAAATATTTCAAATTACTCTACAAACTAAAAATACATAAATCTTTTTGGCAACAAATCTTA